TAATACTAGAGGTGCTGACATCCGTTCCAACCTCTTCAGAATTTCCTGTTCCTTCTGGATTTATCTGCAGTCCTCACAGTAGCTAGGAGGGAAATGAATATTCCCAGCAATAGCACAGTGTGCCTTGTTGTAAGGAAGGTACTTTAGGGTGGGTTGAATGAGCAATTACAATCCATTAGCTTTGCAAAGACGTCTGTACTTGGTGAAGATGAACGTTGCTAGAACAGATATGGGTCAATAGAGCTGCCAGAACTTTTGGACTGTCTATGGGGCTGGATAGGGGAACTGTCATCATGAGCACCTTCTCTTAAGAACCTAAGAAAAGCTTTGCTGGATTGAACCAAATGGTCCATCTAGTGCATTTATCTCATGGGGGTAAATGGCAAAATTCCCACTGTACCACTGGATATTCGGCAATAGGTGATTGAGAATGCCTCTTCCTGCTTTTTCATCCTTCTTCCTCTTCCACTCACAAAGTGCTTTACATTGTCTAAGCACCGTACAGAGACTGAACGCCAAGTCCTTGCCTGCAAGCTTGCAACATAACAGATGTGATACAAAAGGGGAAAGGAATGAAAATGAGAGAGAAAAGCAGGTTGTGACTCCATTGGGCCAATGGGGAAGGGCCAGGTTGGTCTCCCCTTTGTGATGACTGTGTTGTGGTGTTTCATAATGCCAGGGATAGGGTCATGTTGTGATGCTTCATAGCAGTTAGTCAGCATGCAACGGTGTGTCACACTTGTCAAGTGGCATGCAGTGCTTGATGGGATCTGGCAGTTCGTGATCAATCATCTTTTGTGCCTTAAGAGAATCTTCTGGGGTCCTTCTTAGGGATCCTCCTCCGATAGAAGCAAGGAGGCAGGCAGGCAGAAGAGGGGCCTTTTGGATTGTGGCACCCTGTTTATGAAATCAGCTCCCCAAAGAGTACGCCTGGCACTTGCTCTTTTCTTCTGTTTGGTGCTAGGTGAAAACCTTTTCATTCTCCAGATTTTTAATAACTAAATTCTAATTTTAATATTGTATTTTATATTACTGCTGAGAATGTGTTTCAGTTTGATTATGGGTCATGGTGGGCTTGTTGCTGTACTGGCTGTTTTAGTAATTTTTACTGGTTTTATTTTCTTATTTGATAAGCTGTTCTGTTTCATGTTTTTTGACTTTGTTAACTGCCCAGAGCACCTTCAGGCTTCTGGGCACTATAATATCAAAATAAATAAAATAACTAACATGCCTGCCAGTTTTGTATGTCCTCAAAGTGTTTCTTACTCGACTGGGCACTCAAACACACCAACCTCACTTGAAAGGCTCATGTCGAGTAAAAGCTGTGCCGTGCAACCTGTTGTTTGCCATCTATGGGAATTTGGCAGCGCAGAGACAAAGAAGGTCACCATCCTGAGAGCCAGCACTGCGCCCCTTTGACCTGCGGGAAGGTCCTGCAGAGACGGGCTTGTCATGTCAGCAGGCAGGCAGGTGCTTCTCGTTCCATTCCGTGCTTCCAGATTGGAACGAGATGCTCCCCACTGTTCCCTGATACTTTGGATCTGGCTTTGCCTTATCTGTCACAGTGTCCTGGAACATCGCTCACTTTTGATTACTGAGTGTTCTCTGTGCTGGTCCCAGTGGCATGATTTTGGCCTTCTTGGAAGTAGGTAGTGGAAGCCAATTAATGTCTAATTTTAGTAGCTATATGTTTCAGCCACTGAGATGAAGAAGCCTTTGGGAGTCATAAAGCTTGGCTAAAAACCAGAGTCTTTTCACATCCCTTTGGGCTGGCTTCTCTACCCAGCTTTATCTCTTCGTTTGACATGTTGGCCCTTATCACTTCAGCCAAACTGCTCAGAAGCCATCATAATGCTCAGGGTTGGTATATTTATGAAGTTTAAATATTTTATACTGTCTATCTTGCACTACTTCTCCAAGTGGTTTGCGGTAATAGGACAACAGCACAAATTAAGTGAAAATGAACAGTAGACAATAAAAGCAACAGCCATGAATTAACAATCATAAGATGGGTGCTATCAATCAATAAATGCTAATGTGAAGTTTGCTGAATCTCAGGACCAAGGTGTAAACTCCTATTTCTGAACCAGAGTGAGATCTGCTTAGTTTAATGATGTGGCAACAGCATTCAATGTCAAGCCATTCATCAGCTCTTCAACTGCTTTGCTGGATGCTGGCCTTGATTCTTCTTCATCACTCTGATTCTTCACAGCACAGGGGGCTGTGCCTACCTGTCAAGCAACATAAAGCATAAGACAGCCTTCCCCAACCTTGTGCCTCCCAGGCATCTTTGGGCTGCAACACCCAGAATTCCCAGTCAATGGCTCTGCTGGATGGGGATTCTGGGGGTTGTGGTCCAAATGCCTCTGTAGGCCACCAGGTTGGGAGAAGGTTGGCATAAGAGAGTCCCTGCCTTTTGCCATTCTGGTCTTCTTCATCCATATTTCCTATCCTATCTTACATCGTTACAGACCATAATATTTTGGCAATGTTGGTCTGAATGTTTCTGGACAAATAGAGGTGGTTAGAGAAAAGGTCGAGCAGTTTCTTTCAGGATGGAGAGGTACTCTTGTTGTATTTGAGGAGCAACTGGAATGTGACACCTGAGTTGAACCCTCAGCAGAGGCAGCAACTATATCCACTCCAGCACCAACCCTGCTCACTCAGGCCATCGAGACGGAAAGGAAGAGTTACGTTCTACTACTGAGCGCATGGGATTCCATATCGGAGACTGCAAAATAATTAAATAGTTAAATAAAGTAATGCATTCTACTCCAGAACTGTACAAGGTTCCATGCCAAAAATGAAGTTATCTTCCATTAAAGAAGAATCTGCGGGAAAGTGATATTCATGGAAACATCTTGTGCTGTGACTTTTGCGGCCTATGCATTGTGCTCTTAAAAGCGATTCACCCTTCTCATAGACACCACACCATCCTGGCTTCACACGATGCGGTGTCCTTCTGGAATCCCTCTGTGAACACCACAAAGCTTAAGGAAACAGAAAGGAGGCTGGTTTGCAGTGCACAGTTTTGCGGGGCGGGTGGATTTGTTTTGAGTACACAAGGTGGTGTTAAGACCGAGGGTAATGAATGGAGCGGGAATTCCTGATTCAGGCTGTCTTTTGGCTTGTTCCAGCAAGAGAGTCAGTGCTCGGCAATGAATCTTTGCTCTTGATAAGTACAAGCAGGTGGGAAGCACCAGGAGTCAGCTTTCCTGAATCTGGATATGCCAGCAGTTCAGAGCAGTTAAGATTTTTATGACAGGATAAGCATCTGTATTTCAAGAAAGTGGAAATGTATAGTTTTATAGAGGTGATGGCTGGAAAGTCTCTCTCTCTCTCTCCTTGCTTTCTTGTTCAAAGAGCCTGTATCATCCAGGGTTGCATCTTGCTTTCTACTTAACAAGCCCCATGCTATCGAGTATCACAATTCTAAGGCTAGCCCCAGTCATTAATAAGGACAAGCTGTGTTAGACGAACCCTCTCAACAAGAACTTGTTCCCCGACATCATGTCTGTTCTGATTGCATTATTTATGGATCTCTGAGATCCTCTTGCGATATTTGGATTGATGCTGTGAGCAATTCTGACACAGGACATTACCATCCGGCTGCCTTGAGTCTACCTTTGCCTCGTTTAATTTTTATCCTGGAATTAGGTTTGGGTGAGGTGGAGAATATATTTGCATATCTTTGCATCAGCTATCGTGAATATATTGCAGATACATGCCTGCTTCCGTGGATTTGTTTTGGTTAAGGATCATACTTTGAACCAGATAATTGCTGGATCACCAGAAGCAGTCAAGATAGATTGTGGGCATGGTGGGGAGCGGTTTGGAACAGAACTGCAATGGAGGGAAAGGGTTAAAGCTCCCTGGGGGGACCCTCCCACAAGGCCTTAAGCTGAATTGGGTCCCCTGTGCTCAGCAGATAAAAAGAGATAAGTTGCGGTCTTTCAGCTCCCTTGCACTTTGGCTCTCATTCGTACAAAGCAGAGACTTCGGAAGAGGTGCCTTGACACCTCCCAGGTGTAAAGAGCAGTGCGGGCCTTTGCAGAGCCTTTCTGTTCCTCCCGTCAACTGCTCATCACCTGTACCTGCCTAGCATATGTCAGCGGAGAAGCATAACGGGAGACCTGTCACAGGGCCTTGGAAATAAAGGTCAAGGAATCTTTGCCTGAATTGCAGCTTCGCAGAAATGGGATACGGTGCATAAGCGTTTGTGGGAGGGGTGAGGTGATCTTAGGTTCAGGAGACTATGCGGGTGACCCTGTCGGAAGCCCTTGTGGGCTGAATTTGGCCTCCACACCTTCAGTGAACTTATCTTTGTCCTCACCGTGGGAGCCACTGTACGAGGGTGCTGTCCGCAATGGGTATCTGAGCATACGTAACTACATACAGTCAAGGACTTCAATTCATTTGCATGCTCCCTGTGGACTTAAAATAACCTCTGGTTGGTAGAAGAGGAGGAGCATATGTGCACGGCAGGAAACATTAACTTCCTTAAATGCCCCACATTGGGCACAATCCATCTGGAAGTTCTTTCAAATGCCAGTGGATGAATAGAACGAAACGGGGGTGAGCAAAGGTCTAAATCGCAGGCTGGTTGCCTGCATGTTTCCAAGTATAGCTACTGCATGAGAAAAAGCGGAGAAGGAAATGAAGTTATGAAGCACAGTCAGATAAGTGGCCCCAATCCCTTTCTTATTGTTCCTACTGCTTGCAGGACATTTTGAACACTGTAGAAACCAATGTAGAAACCAACGGCAATGGCTTAGCTGTTGTTCACAATAACTTATCTCCTGGTGCAAGAAAGGTGAGCCAAAATACCTAAGTACGCTTGATATTCCAATGAATCAGCAGACACATGCAAGGTATAGATTTGCTCCGCTTCCTTGGGGATTGTGAGGGCACCAGACTGGGTAAGACTGGCATAGATGAATTGCACACTGTCCTGACTTTCTTCCTTTCCCTCCCCTTTTCTTCTTCTTCTTCTTCTACAGATTACTCCTGGCAGCAAAGCAGCTCAGTCCCAGATGAGCCAAGGGGACTTGGTGGTAGCGATCGATGGAGCCAACACAGATAGCATGACCCACCTAGAAGCTCAGAATAAGATAAAATCGGCAAGCTACAACCTGTCTCTTTCTCTTCAAAAGTACGAGGAGATAAGTTACTATCCATGCAAGAAATCATTGTCAATTCAGTGTTGGCTTCTTCAGTGTTGGTGACTTTTTTCCCATGGGGAGTTGACAGAAAGCCATATAGGGATGATGTGAACATTATCCAGAGTGGGGGGGGGGGGGGTGTCAGCTCTACATGCTTCCTGTTTTTCCACAAGCACATCACCTCCAAGATACATCCTTCATCACTCCCCTTTATGGGCTTTGCACAGCCATCTCCCACCACTGAAAGATTCAGAAGCCGTATTTCAGACGTGCTTGCTGGTGCAGTGGAGGAACTGGAAGTAAAATGGACATGTGCATCCTTCTCTTGTGTAGCAGAGTAACATCTGAAGCCACTTTTGCCAATATGCTTCCTGCCTTTTGTGTGTAGGAAAGCTTCTAGGGTCTCCCAGGGTTACATGTCTTTCTGGGTCAGAGCCAAGCCAGATTAAAGAGAACTAATGAAAGTCCCAGGTTTTTTCCCATGTGTTCCTCTTCAAACCCATCACATGCGTACCTGGGAAAACACTGTGCTCAGGTCCAGAGAACTGGTGCTTCCACATGGAGAATGCCCAGGAGGTGGGTAATTGGGTAAATGCAGTATTCTTCTTTTGAGCTGCCCTTGTCACCCAAATCACTGGGACCATGTGAACAACGCTTGTGCAAAGGCAAGATTTCCCCCTCTTTGACCCCTCTATGTTAGCACAATCAGCGCCTGAACCCAGTGGCAGTCTCAGCACAGCCCAAGTGACTAACATGGGGGGTTGAGTTTGCTTGAACTGCACCATTCCTTTATCTGCCTTTCCAAAACTTGTATACTTTCAAAGTATAATAAAGGAACTACAATTCAGGACCCTGCTTTATACCAGGTCAGTCTGCTTGCTCCAGGGGTGGGCAGTCTGTGGCCCACCTGTTGAAAGGCTCTTCTGGCCTACAACCTCATCATCTCTCATGGAAACATAGAAACAGAGCGAGTCAGAAGGGGCCTCCCGGGCCATCTAGTCTTACCTCCGGCACCAGCCGGCTCCGCTCACGACATGCCCACCATGTGCATGTCCAGCCTATCCTTGAACACCCACACCGATGGGGCCTCAGCGACCCCTCGTGGAAGCCCATTCCACACCCTTGGGGTCCTGACTGTCAGGAAGTGCTTTCTGGCATCCAAACGAAACCTTGGCTCCCTAAGCTTTGCTCTGTTGGAGCACGTCCTGCCTTCCTCTGCAGGGGAGAACAGGTCTCTACCCATCTCCATGTGACATCCCCTCACATACCTGTATGTCGCCAACATATCCCCTCTGAGTCTCCTCTTCTCCAGGCTGAAGAGACCCAGTTCCCTCAGTCTCACCTCATACGGCATCCCCTGCAAACCGGCCACCAACCTTGTGGCCCTACGCTGCACTGACTCCAATCTGGCTATATCCTTTCTGTAATGAGGGGCCCAAAACTGAGCACAATACTCCAGTTGCAGGTGCACCAGAGTCGTATAGCGTGGTAGTAATACCTCTCTCGATCTAGAAGCCACACTTCTGGCTATGCTACCAAGGGTGGTGTTCGCCCTCTTGACCACCGCATCACACTGCTGACTCATGTTTAGCCTGCAGTCAACCAGTACCCCGAGGTCCCTTTCACAAGTGCTGCTCTCCAGCCACTTGTCACCTAACCTGTACTTACGACACCTATTCCTATGCCCCAAGTGCAAGACCTTGCACTTATCCACATTGAACGCCATCCTGTTGTCTCCTGCCCACTTCCATAGTCTGTCCAGATCCTTTTGGATCTGGAGTACCTGCTCCTCAGTTGTGGCCACTGCTCTAGTTTTAGTGTCATCTGCGAATTTGATCAGCAGACTGTTCACCCCTTCTTCCATGTCATTAATGAAAAGATTAAACAGGATTGGCCCCAGGACAGAGCCCTGGGGGACCCCGCTTGTCACTGGCCGCCATCCCGACGATTTCCCACTAATGGTTACCTTCTGTTTTCAGTCAGTCAACCATGCCCTAATCCACCAGACAGTGCTTTGGTGTATCCCAAAACTCCTCAGTTTCTCCACCAGGATATCACGGGGCATCTCTCCCTGTTGCCTGCGCTGTCTAGGGCTGCCAGAAGCTGTCGGCCAAATCATTTGAAGGGCTACGACCTGCACAATCTGTTATTGTCTAGCTGGTAGTAGCCCTCCATGGTTCCCAGCAGAGGTCTTTTCCATTCAATTGACTGATCCTTTTAACTGGAGAATTTAACCTGTTGTTCCCCCTGTGTTATGCTCTCCCCCATATTAAACTTCCCATGCTTCTCGTTCTGTGTTCCTGCTATGATGGTAAGAATGTTAGCCAGGGAGAAGAATTCTGTTCAAGCCAATATAGATTGGAAAGGTACTGATAATCAACCAGCTCAAACCTGATTCATGCATTTAGTCAGTAGTCCCAAGAATTGGTTTGAAGGCACATGATACAGCGCTCTTGCTGAAGCTTGGCAGGCCTGAGTCTGGCTCAAGCCTGGATGGGAATCTTCTGAAGAACCTTACGTATGATCTGTGAATTCTGTCATGCGGTAAAGGCAGGATAAAAATATTTTAGGAAATACACGTGCATGCAGGTTGCCTCCATCTTAGGTCTGAATGTGTAGTTTTAGCTTTTGTTAGTTTCCTTTCTTTGCTTTTTCCCACCATGCCAACAGAAGTTTCCTTGCAATGAAGCTGCAGACTGTCCCTGAAGTAACACCAGATACATACACAAAACACAAATGATGTGCCAAATGAACACTGGATGGGTGTTTCAAAATGAAAGGTATCCCCCATTCCTCTTGTGCTGAAGTTCTTATTGTTTTCCGCACAAGGAAAATTGCTCTGCTTCATCCCTCCAGGAGTCGTCTTTGTTCTGAAAAGTTCTCTCCAGCCCGCCTTTATTTGCCAGAGTCTCTCCTGGTCCTTTCCCCACTTTGGCTCTGCCTGGGAAGCAAGTAATTTTGAAACAAATATTGATGATCCTAGCCTATCCAACTGGTTCTTTCATGTTGGGTGGCGTTCCACATCACAAACTGTTTCAAAACATTTTTATTGATTGGCAGCTTGTATTAAAATCCATAAAATAGTATTTTAAAAAAAGAAAATGGGACAAAGTGAGATTCAGAGTAAGATGCATTTCTTAAGCATGTTTAGGACAAACACTATTAGTCTATAAACCTCAGGCACTTCAGTGTTGCTCAGAGTTTCCCAAACTGGTGATGGCAACAACCCCCATCTCTCCCCACTAGCAGGCTAGGAAAGGTGGGAGTTTAAATCCAATGTATCTGAATGGCATCATGTTGGGGAAAGCTGTTTTAGCACTTCCATTTGGTCTTCTTTCTTTTCTGGGAAGATACTTCCATTTTTCATTGACTGGGCAAAGACAACCTTTTGAAGAACTCTGGATCTGAAAATGGTTTGAGAGGCTTCAGTGTCCATGATCTCCAGCCAATCTGCTGCCAGATGTTTTGGACCAGAAGTCCTCTCAACCCCTGCCAGTATGGCCAATGGTCAGGGAGCACGGGAATTACAATGGAAAACATTTGGGAGATGCCCAGTGAAGAAAGGCTTCGTTACAAAAATGTTGGCCTGGTTTGGGCAACATGCTGTACTGCAGTGTCATGCCAGAGATGAGCTGCAGTGCGTCCTGGCTTAATTCAGAGCAAACCCTGCAACTGCCTGGAGGTGCAAGTGAGACAGCCTGAACATCAAAACCAGCGACCATCTTCCCAGATGTCTTCCAAACGCTGCCTAAACGACTTCCTGCCTCCCGTCGAAGAGGCGCACGCACAATAATACCCCTAACAGTAACACAGCACCTTACCGATTTCCTTTTTTAAAAAAATTGAGAACATATTTTTGCAGCCCTGAGCTAGTAAAAGCAAATAATGTTTGCTTCGGTTTGTTTTTAGGTAGGGAGGAGGGGAATCTTCTCTTTTTCTTCTCTCTGATTAACCTTTCATATGAGGAGAATTGCTCCGTATGGCGCTGCCAGTGAAAGCAAATGCTAAAAAGCTGGGGTTTATCTGACTGATCCAGTATTATCCTTTTCTAGCAATAGATGCAGAGATGACTGCATACCATGGCTGACCTTTTCTTCCTTTTCTTCAGGACACAAAAGCTCTGTTCCATTTCAAAGAGTCAGAGAGTTTCTGAGCAGTGGGGAGGCTGGGAGATCTTCCTCGTCTCCTCTTTAAAGGCAACTTTTAAACAGGCTGTATAAATCACAGCCTGATCCTGGAGGTTACGGCCAGAACACGAGTTCTTGGAACGGTCTGTGTTAGCAGTTTTGGCATGAATGTGCCGTGTCACCAACCATCGTATTATGCTGCCTTTGCAGGATTTTCACAGTCATTGCACAGGTAGTTGAACCACAACAAAAGCACTTCCCAGGCATGACGGAACTTGGCAGCCTGATGCAGCAGCAGCTTGCAAACATGAGAGTTCCCCTAATGCCAAACGCACCCTTAGCTCATGCATCGCAGCAGAGGGTTCAGCACATTTTCCCCACTGAGGTCTGGGTTACCTTGGTAGAAAACCTTTCAGGGTCCACATTCAGCAGTGGGTGTGGCCATAGAGAAAAGAGGCGGGGCCAGAGACAAAAGTGGGTGGGTTGCAGGTGTGACATGTGTCTTTGGTACCCAATGGGAAAAGGAGACATTGGCATTCATGAATTCGCCTTCCTGACCTTGTGCAATATTTCTTGCAGCAGCTTTGTATTTCAGGCAAAGATGCTGTAAATAATGTTAATTACCTTGCAGTGGGGCTGAGGGAGGGTGTGGCTTGGGACAGGGGGGCTGCCTGGGGAGACTGAGAAGTTCAAAGAGGCATGGAGGTCAGCATTTGACCTGCAGATTGGAGGTTCCCCACTCTGGACTTGGTATATCAAACAAGGAACTTCTAGGTGGCGTGTTGCCCTTCTGTGGAAAAAGCAAAGTTCTGTCTTTGGAGACGCTGTCCCAGTTCTTACCTATCTCAGTGTTAGGGTTTCAA